GAAACTGTGTATATATAAACGTAGTATACTTAGTTTGTGATAACTTCAAAGAAAGAGAAACGAGAAAAATCAAAAGGAAACGAACAAAAAAATTCAAAAGAGAAAGATTCAAATTAAATGGAGAAAAGTTTCGTGTCATTGAAAAAGTGATATTGATTTGACATCTCGCTTACCACCTGTTTCATTTTTTTTCAATCACATTTCTACTCTTGTACATATTGTGATTTAATAATAATTCCTTTATTGTTTAAATAAAACTATACTTATGTATGTGTTAATAGTAAATCAACAATTTATCTTTGTTTTTTACTTTTAAGGATAAAATATTAATAAAATATATTTTACTTTCCTGAGATATATACAAAAATTTAATTATATCATTTATTTTCACGTTTTATTTATAACAAATTTGAATTTTACTTTCAAGTTTCTTTTTTTTTTTTCTTTTTATTCGAGTTAATTGTCGAGGTGAAGATTGTAAAACGATTACTATGAAAATGGCAAATCGATTAAATCAGGTATGAGGAGAGAGACAGGTGTGGCTTAAAGGTGTTACCTCTCTCTCTCTCTCTCTCTCTCTCTTATATGAATAACGTAGATAAAAAAAAACGAAAGATCGATGATCGATAAAAACAATTTGCGGTATAGTTCAATACAATTAATAATGTTATTTCTTTGTGTTAAATTTATCTATGGAAATGTAAAAACGTTGTATTAATTGAATGTTAAATTTGCACGCGATATTCTCTTTCCCTTTCTTCCTTTATATATTTATTTCTTTCTCTTCCCGTTTATAGAAAGAATCTTTTTAATAAAATTAACAAGTATTAATATATTATAAAATATTCATATATACAATATTAAAATTATAATATTATTAATTTTTTTTTATTAAGAATGAAATTATATCTAGGAAGAGGAATTTTACTAAGAACATTTATTATCTAATAATTGCATAAGCGTTGTTATAACTTGCGGTTTTCTTATGAATAAAATTGATCGTGCCTTTAACCTTTTAACCAAATAGTTGAAGTTAATTCTTTGTGGTACTTTACAGCACAAAGGTAAATAAATTTAAATTCAGTATAACCTGCAGGTTGGTTTTGTTTCATTTTTAATTTATACATTTTATATCGTCACAGAATATATAACTGTGATACTTATTCTTACAACAATTATACTAGATATTAATTATTATTTGTAGAAGTAATTACTAGCATAATTAATGTATCTATAGTCGTTTAAAAGATTTTTCTATTTTTATTTGTTGCTTTTAAACATTCTATCTCGGTCGAATGTTATATATATATATGTTCCTCTTCGTTAATTTATTTTATCTTTTTTCAATAGAATTATAAAGCAGCAAAGAAATTTAATAGTAAATCGTTAACCTTGTTAATGGAAACGTTAACTTCCTTACGAGATAATGATCGATCGATTCTTTATTTATTTACTAATTCGTATAAAGGAAACATATATACAGGGTGTATTCGTACGAAAACATCGATAAAATGAATAAAATTAACCGTACACATTTTTATCGAACGAGAATTGAATCATAAAAGAAGAAAAAGAATATCCTCGTTACGAGCAAGCAAGCAAGCAATTATTATTATACTTACGAGTAATATGGAATCCGAAAGTAAAAAGCAATTATGTGATATGGAAGTGGAGAAAAATTTCACTGCGTGTTAACTTAGGAATAAAGAAGAAGAATAAAGGAAATAGTTAGAAAAAGTAAATACGAATGAAGGGATCATATAAAAACACGAAAAGATCATAAACCAATAGAATCGGCCTACTTACCTATTAACACTAAGTCATTTCATTTCATTGCTGTTGGTATACATATATGAATCACATACAGGGTGTCCCACATAACTCTAGTTACGATTTTTCAAGTACTTACGATATCAAAAACAAATAAACTTTTGTTTAAAGTACTTTTTTTGTCAGGTTGAAAAATCATTAGTCAATACTTACAAAATCTTGACTATAGTTATGTGGGACACCCTGTATATATATGTATATACAATGTACCGTACATCTTTCTCTTTTATTCATATGCACCTAATCGTTCTCATCCTCGTAAGCGTCGTTAAAAAGAATTTCTTCTCATCTTGACTCCAATAAAATGAAAACAAAAAATTTGATAGATAAAAGTTAGAAGAAGATGAAGAAGAAGATGATAAAGTAAGTTACTTTTTCAAAGAAGAAGAAGAAGAAGAAGAAGAAGTAGTCACAACTACTCTTTCCTCAATATTTTTCTTTCTCATTCTTTCCTTCCTTCCTTGTTTCACCTAACCCTCCTCCCCCCCAGACCCCTGTACACTTAAGTTGCTTTCCGTTGGTATCCTCCTTATCTCAGTAACCCGTTCTACTAGACTTTCTCCCGAAGAAATACCGTTCGTTTGGTATCCGTGTCAATGCCGAGGTAAGAAAAAGGGAAGTTACATTTATCTGGGCCCAGATCCGAAATACTTAACCGTAAGATTCGACATTCCTTTTTTTTTTCTTTTCTTTTCTTCTTCCTTATACTTTTCAAGAGCTTTCGATCGACGAATTGTTTTTCCTCCTCGAATTTTTCTCGATCGTATAGTTTGTTTAATGTATTATTTTCTTGATTAACATTTGATCGTAAATTATTTCTAATGTAATTCGTAGAATTTCAAAATATTTTCCGATGACGTGTATGGTTTTTTTCTTTTTTATGTTATAATACTTCTTCTTTTGGCACGTTTTGGAAAGTGAAGTTAGATGCGACCGAAAAATTTGACACCACGAAGTTGTCGATATTTATACGATGCGCGCGCAAATTCAAGTTATTTTTCAGGTTATATTCGTTTTAAGTACACGCATCAGTTTTATTTGTTCTTTTTTTATTTTGTAATCATTCCAATTGATATATTTTTAGGTGTTTTTTTTTTTTTTGATTGCATAAATTAAATATTAATTTCATCATTTCGAACAATGAAAGTTTATAAATTGTTCAATTATAAGATAGAGTACGATGAATTGTGAACCTTTCGTTTAAAAAAAGAAACAAAAAAATACAAATACTTTTGAAACTTTTATAGAACAAAAATTTGAAACGTTTATTCGAAAATCTCATGATCGAATACCAACGCTATAATTAAGAATTGTTCAGTACCCCGATACCCCGAGTTACTTAATTCCTCTGTTACGGTAATTAACTTTAACCTAGTTGTTAAATACGATCGAAAAGTTTTACCAATATAACACGATTTTTGTACACGATATTGCACACGATAAACCATCAAATCATAGGAATGGAATGAGACAACATTGTAATTTAAGTTAGGCTAGGTTTAACTTCTATACCAATATGTAATTTTGATTTAAGAATAAAGTGGCTCGTAAAATTGAAAATGAACGGTGCAACGACATTGAGCAACCTTGCTTGTTCAACTATACTAAACGTATATTCGTGGCATAATGATTATTGCACTTTACCTACTTTTCATTATTTGTTTTTTTATTTTTTTAATAAAAGAGAAAGAGAAGTTTGAACGAATTTGTTTTTTTTTTTATTTTCTAGTTTCGTTTACCAATTTACTTCTTGCGTATTTAAATTAGATTCAAATTAGTATTACAAAAAATTAGATTTTTATTGTGTTCCCATAAATGAAGAAATTTTTTATTTTATCTTTGTTGATTGATTGAAAATATAAATTGAATTTTTTTTCGATAAATATCTTTGAATATTTATTGAAGTTTGAAACAATCGTTGATAGTTTATGGCTATTTAACGTAAACGTAGATGAGGAAGACTAATTTTTCTGTTTCTCGTGGTACTATTACGTGGATAAAGATTCAAAACCGGAAGAGAAAATCTAACGATGGTTGTGTTAAATCATCGATGAAATATAATAATTCACATCAACACGGGTTACCGAACGTTATGTCATAATCTTAAGTCAAATTAAATTGATATTAATCAAACGAAGAATCGATGATAAGCGTAGAATGATGAATAGTTTATAATATAGATAAAGATAAAAAATAACTAAGAAATGAATTATATTATTGAGCGTTATGTCATAATTAAATTGATGATAATCACAAAATGATGAATAGTTTTTAATATATAAGTTTAAAGGAATATTATATAAAAATAAAATATATATTATTGAACGTTATCATATAATCTTGAATCACAAATCAAATTGATGATAATAAAACTGAATACTTTTTGAAAAAATAATTCTCGATAAAAAGAACAAAAAAAAAACAAATGAAATATAAAGAATAATCAGAATCTAATAAAGATCAAACAAATATTTAATATTAACGCAAGAGAACAACAAAAATTAACGAAGCGTAACGTTTACCCTCTTATTATTATTATTATTATTAATATTATTACATTTGGTGTGTCGAAAATAAGTAATACCATTTTCCATGTGGTGGGTTTATATATTTCCGAATCAATACCGATATCTATTAAACGTATACAATGGCAACACAACATTTTACTTTCGCTTTGTGTTTCGCGAGCACGATCGGACGATAGGTTTTTCTATAAAATAAATCGACAAAAGTACGCGAAAGGTGAAATAGAAGGTGCTACTCGTGTTCGATCCGTTTATTATTTAATCGATTTATTATCTCATTAAATACTTTTTCGTTGAACGACAATCAAGTTAAAAAGGTGAACGTTCATTGGTCATTTCTATGGGATTACAACCAACGAATTTTCTAACAACGTTGTTTACTTTCTCCACAAAATAATAATTTATTAATCAATAATAAACTTTTTGAACTTCATTCAAAGTGTCCGTATTTATTCCGTGTTACATCAAATGTATATAGTATTTATTTGTTAATAAAATAAGGTATATATTGTTTATTATCCAATTGATTCGAAAAATCTCAGTCTATATGAAAATATATATCTATCATTTTACTGCTAATGGTAGAAATAGATAAGCATGGTGTGTTAATAAGTTTTAATGATCGGTTATGGTATTTTTATGAATATTTTTCTTTTCAGAAATGGCATCGGCAGCTGCAGAATTAGTGGCGGAAAGGGAACCAGAATTGATGCGAGAGATGGTTGATGGAAACCGAACTTTAGTTGGTGCCCAAGGATTGGTCAAATTAGCAATTGAACAATATATGGAGATATTAGCAAGTGCATCAGATCCACGTGTTGGCAATTGGCCTCTTATGGAATCCCCAATACCTACGATCCTCATAGTACTACTATATCTTTATTTCGTAACAATAGCAGGTCGTCGTATTATGTCCAACAAAAAACCTTATCATCTAAGAAACGTTCTCGTTGCTTACAATGCCTTTCAAGTGATATTCTCTCTGGGAATGCTTTACGAGGTAAACAATTATTAATTACTATAAATTAAATCTTGAAAATTTGTTTAAATTCGATCAATGATTCAATGGTTTGGTTCCTTTTTTACAATGACACGAATACTAGTTTGTATCGAAACGAGTTGAACTTTCTTAACGTAAAAACGAAGAGACAAAGAATGAAAGAACCGTTCGACACGTTCCACAAAACCGAAATATTTTTTAGTATTAACATTTTTACCTGAGATTTCGTGTCGAGAATATTGGTCTATGGATATTATTTATTCACGGCTATGACAAAATTCATCGTCGTCGTAAGATTTGAAAAGAAAACACAGTTATTAGACATTTGAAATACTCCGATTGAATGAGATTGTTCCAGATCGGTTTATTCTACTCGCGCGTGGAAAGTCGTGCCATGCCTAATCATAGTTATTTTCGAAATATCTTTAAATATAGGAGGAGGCCCCTAACTTAATCATTGTATTAAATATTTCGTATTAAGAATATGACGCGATAAAATATTGATTTAGAAGAAATTTCTTATCCTAATTTTGTTACAATCGAATAATAAAATTAAAAAATTAGAATATATATTAGTGTTATTAGTATAACACAATCGATTAATTATATCCAATAATTTTTCGTGTTGCTTTTTCTTTTTTTGTATTTTTTTAAGGCAAGAAAAAGAAATTCATTGCGTTAGATATATTAAAAATATTGAAAAGAAACAAATATTAAAAGCATATATATTTCAAGCAATCACGGTTGTTGTTACTTGTTTCTAATGCACTTTACGCGTAAATCTTTTTTAACATAATCGAAGATAGAGAACTTGTATTCGAAAGTCAGATTAACGTAATCGTTGCAGTGACAAGCATCTATTACGTATTCGATTAGGCTAAAGGCAAGATTAGATCATCGAGGAATGAGGAAAAGAGAAAAATATATAGCCAACCAAATGTGTCTGTTAAACAGAAAAAATGATTGCTTTCTAAAAGAACAAAAAACAAAAAAAAGAAAAAAAAAAGGTTTATTTCTAATCTTAACCCATATTTGTTCAAAGCACTTGATGTCCGGATGGTTACTTGACTATAGTTACAAGTGTCAACCAGTCGATTATTCCCACAATCCGTCTGCCATAAGAATGGCTAATCTTTGTTGGTGGTATTTTGTCAGCAAATTTACCGAATTCGCTGACACGGTAAGTTTTACGTTAATACAATTTCTAAATATTAGAATGGAACCAAAACTTTGTTCTGAATTTTTCATTTCTCTTGAAATTATATCTCGAAACTGCATAATAGGGAATTGTATTGTTGTGTGGTGCAAAAAAGGCACGAACTTTTGGTTCTCACCCTAATATTATTATTAATATAATAATTTTAATATATATACTAATATACAGATCAATATTAACAATATTACAATTATAATGTAATTATATTTGATCTATGGTCAAAAGAAATAAGAAACAAAATTGGATGATTGTGTTATAAACAAATGTATTTAAATTTAAAATCGAATTTTTTACAGATTTTTTTCGTATTACGAAAGAAGGAGAGTCAAGTTACTTTTCTACACTTGTACCATCATTCATTGACACCATTGGAAACTTGGATTTGTGTTAAATTTATCCCAGGTGGACACGGTACTTTAGGAAATCTAATAAACAATGCGGTACACGTGGTCATGTACGCTTATTACATGTTAGCTGCCATGGGACCCGAATATAAAAAATATTTATGGTGGAAAAAACATCTCACGACGATTCAATTAGTAAGTGTTTCTTATTTTTATTTCTTCCCTCCTCCCACCCCCTCCTCTCTTCCTCCACCACATTGAACAACGAGATTGAAAAAACTAAATCATTTTGAACACGCGTTAGCATAATCTCTAATTTTAGTACGGCGAATGTCAAAAGAAAAATTAATTCATGAAGTAATAAACGTGAAATGATGAAAGATCGAATAGGGTTTTGAGGGAAACTAAAAATTACTACGATCGGACAATTCTTTAACTGACTCGGTTTAATTGAATTAGGGGTGGATATAGGTGACGATAAAATAATTATTAAAAATAATAATTTTTTTAAACTGTGAGATAATTCCGAGGACGTTTTATTGTTTTTAATCGAGGGTAAGTTGCTAGCCTTACCCTCAACAACAAAATTAAAAAAGAAAAAAAGTAATAATTGAAATTATTCAATTTGCCATTCCTTATATTACAATATAACAAAACTTAGTAAATAATCTAAAAAATGAAGACCACTAGCTAATAAGTTCATTATTATCGTTTTGTGATATATATATATATATACACGAGGGATGGGGAGGGGGGAAACAAGAAATAAGAAAACTCACCGTTAGCTCAACGTTAATGAGAATAGCATTATATCGGTTGATACTAATCGATGATAATATTTCCTCTTCATTTTCAGGTACAATTCTTTTTAGTTTTCGTACATAGCGCACAGGCCTTGATCTTCGATTGCGGTTATCCGAAATTGGTAGCAATCCTTTTATTACTTCACTCGACGATCTTCTTTATTCTTTTCTCCGATTTTTATCGACGTGCCTATCGTAAAAGGAAATTCATCGATATAAAGAAAGTGGATTAAAGGAGGAATAGGAAGATAAATAAAAAAAAGAATAAGAAGAAGGGTAACAGGACCAAAACAAAACAAAAACAACAAAAAAATGAACGCTTCTTATTTTTTGGAAGCTTTAGAAAAAAGACTATCTCTTCTCCTTCTTTCTTTCTAATACCGTGTCCTATTTTTCCTTTCTTTTTTTCTTTATTTTTGCCACCATTCCTGCCACCAGGATGAAGAAAAAGAAAAAAGAAAAAAGTAAGAAAGAAAAATAAAAAACGCAGGACGTTTTAGCAGCGCGCCTCCAATACGAGTCAATTTAGTTTGAATTTTATCAAAGTGGCATAGAACGAAGAAAGGATCTTGCCTATTTATATATATATATATATATCCTTTTTTTCAAAGGATTTTGACGAACAAGAGACTCGCACGAAGTATCGACATTAATTAGGATGAAACCAAAAAGTTCGTGCGTTTATTGTGTCATTAAAAAAACTGCATAAAATGAATTGTTTGTTTTTTTCCGTAAAAAATTTAATTCTGCAGATATTAATAAAAAAAGAAACGAAGAAGGAAAAGAAACGCACGAACTTTTTTAGTACACCCCAATAATATTACGTTAAATTAAGAGAAACCAAGGAAATAATCTGTGCATTTCAATAAAACCCCGAGTCCTTGGTTATTTCAAGATTAATTTTTTCGATATCGTAACACCGAGGAAAGGTCAAGAGAAAAAAATGTGAAAACAAGTGGCAGAGAAAATCGATCGTAAACAAACAAACAAAGAAAAAATTATAGATCTTTCTAAATTCTTTTCACCGATTGTGTTAACTGTTTAAAAGGAAAAGACGTAAAAACGTTTTTATCGTTGCGCTTGTAAAAATCATTCGTTGCGCATGTAAAAGTATTTTTACGTTTGTCCATTTTGTTTCTTTTCTTTTTATAATTCACGTTGTATCACCGTAAAAGCAAAATATTCAACTATCTATCGTAAAAAAGTCGTAGCAATTAACCCTTTCTCCTCGATAATAATTATTCTCTCCCAAAGTGCCACTCAGAGATATTTTCGCGAACTTGACTCGATATGTGTGTTTGTATAATAGATGAATCTCTTTTTATTTTATATATATATATATATACATATATGTGTCGATAATTATGACAATGTATTAAGAGACACAAGAAAATTAAACAAAAAATTTATTTTATGATTTATTTGATATTATATTCAAATTAATTATATTAGATAATAAAACACAAGATAAATGTTAGGTAGATATTTTGTTTTAAGAAGTCCATTTTCAAAATTATCGGCTCATAAATATATATATGTATGCATACACGTGCATGTAAAGGATTTTAATTTATTTTTTTAATTTATCTAATATATATATATATTGTGGAGGATTTAGAAAAGGATTCCTCGTGTCCTTCCCTCGTAGATAAGATTTATATATATATAAATATAAATGAAAAAGAAAATAAAAAAATAGTCATATTTTGTTTGGCCTATGTCGAATTACTCTCCAAACTTTAAATCTATATTTTTCTTAACAGGCTCTATGCATATATTCGAATTTAAATACGGCTTATCGCAGGAACGTTGTCCAAGTATGTATATCTATTTATTTTTACATATATGTTACCGTTGAAGTGTATAATTCAGTTAATTCATGTAAAACCTAACACTTGTGCGAAACAATTAGACGTTTTAAGTAAAGTTATATAAAAAGGAATTTTATTATACAATTAAACTAGTTGTTTTTTTTAGCAAATAATTAAGTAAAATATAAATTAACGAAAGGTGAATAATCAAAGTATGGGATTGAAATTTGATCTATCTTTAAAGTTTACTTTTCTTTCTAAAACAATGCTCGTTAGTTATCCGTTTCTTACTTTTTCCCGTATTTTGAAAACCAATAATTTTTTATTTGTACCATTCTGTCGGCTAAAATTTCAATTCAATACTTTAACTCTACTTGCCTTTCGTGAATTATTATATTACCTAATTATAGATATTCTGCTATTCTGCTTTCTTTCATAGTTTAACAGGTCAGTATAATTATTTCATGGTTTAGCTGATAATTTGATGAATTAACAAGTTCACGTTTCAACGGTAACATACACAAATATATATATATATTGTATACACACAAAGAGAAATAGATGAAGCAAGATTTTTTAATTAGAATTTCAACAGAAACAAATTCGATATTATCACTGTTTCCGAAATACGCGTAATTAATAACGCACTTTCACGAAAGAGAAATTTGGATGATGTTGCATCGAACCTTCATGCTTGTATCTGATTATTTGAAAAAATATTGAGACTTTTTTTTATGAAAGAATCGATGAATAATGCGAATGAACGAACAAACGTACAAACGAACTAACCGCGTATATTACTTTTTTCGGCACATTCCTCGAAAAGGGTCCGACGTTCGAGCTGTGGCGAATGGCTGTGGGTGCAAAATTTTCTTTTAAATCGAATAGAGATAGGACATACGACGAGAAGAAGGTTCCGCGACGGCGCAACCCTGCTGCTGTTATGCGGGTCGATAAATTCTCTCTTTTTCAATGTGTGCGCGTATATATAAGAAGAGAACAGATTAAACCAAAGCAAAACTGTCCAAAGTTAAATAACCGAACCCAATCTTTCACATTTGATTATTTCCTATAATCAAATTTGATCTCTTTGACTTTTTTGTTTTCACTAAAGTATAATAAAGACCTAACAATGCATACAAAGCATCTATAGCGATCGCATTAGAATAATAGTTTGTTTGTTTTCGATATTATAGGAATTTTGGGAATCCCCCGATAATTTTGATTAAAAATGAACGAACTTTTTGAACGAGCTTTGCCTTTACTTCAATCGATAATCTCGAGAGACCATTAACAAGATCACGTAACGAGAACTGTAATTTAAATTATGTTCAAGCAATAAGTATATTATTGTATTAGTTATTTTAATATTAATAATAATATATTATATATATATATATATAAATCATCCTATGTCCACGAGCAAAATGTTTAGTAAATATGTATTTCCTTATTATTTTTAATGCCAATTACAATATCACATCTTTCCAATTTTCGCTCGCGCGTATCCTTTTTATTTTATAACTGCTACTAAACGTCGTCCACGACTGCTGTAATGATAAAACTATATCGAACGGTATATTACTATTTTCATATTTTATTTACATGATATATTTATATATGTATGTATATCTATATATTAATAAATGTATACAGGAATAGGAAAAAATAACCCGTACTTGCAAATTCTAAATTGCGAGCAATTAATGTTTAAAATTCCTATAGATCTACGAGGCAGTTTGTTCAAGCAGCGGCTGCTTGTTGCTTTCTCTTCTGTCTTTCTAAAAGCCTGCGTTCTCTTTCAAACTCCTTCATTCGCATGACATAACTGTAATAATAAGAGTCTGTCTTTTAATCTGATCATTGTTTTTATAATTATTTAAAATAATACACAACTATTACAATGTGTTCCTAATTTCACACATTTTTCATTAATTAAACTTACTCTTCGTATTGGCATTTCTCCCATTCATGCATTTGATGACCGCATCTTCTTATCATAGGAAAATTATATTTTTTACAGTCTTCCAATTCAAGAAGTTTATGCGCACAATAATCTCTATATCTTTTTGGTAATTTCGCTGCCCTCATTTCTGTCTCTGTGGCTACCATAACTGAAATATATCATTATAATAAGTATAAATACAAAGAAAATTGTAAACAAAGGGTTGAATTATATTTTTTAAATTAACAGTACAATATTCTAAACGAATGCATTCATTAGTTACTAAAACAAAACCACGAAACACTTGATTATGTCACAAGTGTAATTTTTCATGAATACAATTGTAGAAAAATGCAACAATAATATATAGGAAAAAAAATGTCATCTAAGATAGACATTAAAAACAAACAAATACATTGAACGAGACTGAAGGAAAAGAACATTCAATAATTCGACATTTTAAAAAGGATTGAAATTAAAATTAATATTGGCCCAAATGTTTCAGGTTAGATTTTTTATCGTAACAGTTACCTCTTTCTTTTCGACCATTTTCAAATCCGTACAACGAATTAAATTTCGGTGCAGTTTCTGCTTCTGGCATTGTATCGGGATGTGTAACATATGCACTCCATAAAAGACCCATTTTTATCTAATATTAAAAGTAGGATTTAAAAGGCACCAAAGAAAAAAAAAACGGCCATATAATGCACTACCAACACACTGTTGTTCAGTATTGTTACGGAAAAAACGTCACTTATGATATTTTTAATTAAACTTACCTATTCGTAAGTAAAATATATCTGAACTATAAGATTTTTATTATTTGCAATCTATTGTTATTAATTATTTGAAATTAAAATAATAGAGAAATTGGAAATAATAGACAAAATATTGTCTCTCTGCGTAAAGTGCATGCGCGGAAGCATATTTTGGCACAACGTTGTGTTAAGCGTTCAATTTTACTTAGTTCATTCAGATTAAATAAGTTTTTTATATTATATTATAACAAAAATGGTCAAATTAACGCCGGATTTAATACAGCAATCTAAGCAATATATTAATCCTGTAAGAGATCGAGAATTAGACTTGAGAGGTTCGTCAAAATAATATATACATTTATAATTAACAGAATATAACCTAAATTCAGACTGTATTGATATATTGTTTATTTATTTATTTATATATTTTTTAGGATACAAAATACCGACAATAGAAAATTTAGGAGCTACTTTGGTTAGTATATGTTACAGATGTTTTTTTATTTTTTAAATTAAATGCAAATATATCTGTTTATTCTGAACTGTTTGTACATGTGACAATAATTTATGCTTATGTCGATATTTATTACAGGATCAATTTGATACAATAGACTTTTCTGATAATGATGTACGAAAACTAGATGGATTTCCATATTTAAAAAGAATAAAAACACTTTTTTTCAATAATAATCGCATAGTCAGAATCGCAGAAGGTTTAGAGCATTGCATACCCAATGTAGAAACTTTAATGTTGACTGGTAATATGATTCAAGAGCTTGGGGATTTGGATCCATTAATACCGCTGAAACATCTTACAAATTTATGTTTATTACAAAATCCTGTTTCGGCAAAGCCACAATACAGACAATACGTCGTATTCAGATTTCCACAGTTGAGATTACTAGATTTTAGAAAAATCAAACAAAAAGAACGAGAAGCTGCTATTGAATACTTTAGAAGTAAGAAAGGAAAAGAAATGGTACGTGAAATAGCCAAAAAAGCAAAGGCGCAAGCACCGGGAACATCCTTGGATAAACCTATAACAAGTGTGGACGAGCGTAACAAAATTAAAGAGGCTATAACTAATGCAACATCTTTGGAAGAGGTACAACGACTTAGCAAGCTGTTACAAGCAGGACACATACCCGGAGAAGAAAGACTTCAAAATGGTAATAAAGTTTGTTTGTCGCAACATATTAAAAAAATTACTATGCATGATTATTACAAAATGATTATTTTTCTTTAATGTATTAGGAAACAACACATCTGAAGCTATGGAAGAAGAGGAAGATGACTGAATTTAACAGGTTTATACTTATAAATGACAGCAAATTTTGTAATTAACGTTTGATCTGTAAGTATTCAATTGCTACCAAGGATATTAATGCAAGGATGACGACCCTTCTTTGAGTTGATAAGAAGCTGTATACTACACAATTAGAGTTTCTAACAAAATTATATATATTTGTATATATATATATATATATATTCATAAAATTTTTGTTTTTTTTTGTGGTACAATTAAAAGATGCAAATATGTTATATCATGACCTTGAAGCGATTATGTAAAACAACAAAAACCTTTACTTTGAAGTATTAACAATAGTCTAATTTATTTCAGCAGATTCAAAATAAATCATATCATGCGGAATGCGTTTGTTTCTTCAACTTTATTGAATTCCAACATAATTTTTTAAGGCATCAAACTGTCGGCGTATATTTATATACGGTAAATGAAGTAACTGGCTTATAGATGGGAATCTTCTGTACCGATCATGATTACCAGCATTCGAAGCGACATCTTTATATATAACTAATGAAGTAAGTCAATAACATAATTATCTTTATTTTTAATTAATTTGTGTAAGAGTTATTAAACGATGCCTTGAATAAAAGAAAATCCACATATATATGTTAGTAGTTATGACAATGGACTTTGTCAAAACATTTTATAATTTATTGTATATTAAAATTGTTTATACTTTAAAATACATTCAAAGAATGTATTGACTCAGTCCACACTCTCATTATTATCGTCATATACATAATTGTTTAATAAATTTTGTGAAAAATATTTATTCAAGGAATGCGTTGTGCCGAGAGAATTTGTGTGATGATATTTTTATATAAAATAAATTATTTCTCTTAATAAAAGGCATAAGAAAGTTTTGGACTTTGATAGGTACAGTCCGTTGCATCCATTGTTAGAGTCATCTAGTGGCAAAAATTGAAATTACAGTTAATCATGTTCGTATGGCGCATCTAGTAACTACTTTTTTTTAGTAAGAAACAGGTAATAACACCGCACGAAAATTGGCGTAGAACCTCAACACAAGAAAGAAATGAATAAGTGCTCTTAATTGTTCACTAATTGCACATTTAAAATCCATAATTGTTCGTTTTATTAATTAATTATTTAATTAGTTATTAATAATAAAAATTACAGAAACTTTTTTTCCTATTTCTAAGCAAAGAAATGGAGTTTTCTATTGTTGTAAAGCGAAAAAATTTCGCAAAAAGGCCTAAAAATACACTGTGGTATTGTTTGTTTTTTATTTAAGTAACAATAAATTACACACATGAGTAAGTTGTTTGTTTTTAAAAGCACTTGTGCACTTTGTTCGCCGGCGACAAATAAAATAATTTGTTGAAATGTACATTTCTTTGCTTTTAAGGTCATCATACAAAGGTCATAGTATACTATATCGTTGAATTCGTAATAATATGGGCTATAATACTGTAAAATCAAAAATTTAAAAAAATAAAGGTAGCCTTAAAAAACATTAAAACAGAAAATTTATTTTTACTGCAATTTATAGTCAATCAAAAACAAATCAACTTTTGTTTAAAATAATTTTTTGTCAGGTTATCGTAAGTACTTGAAAAATCGTGACTAGAGTTATGTGGAACACCTTGTATATTATCGACGAAATAAATCAAAAATAATGATTGCCTAAAAATATTATAAATTACCTGTATAATTTATTACATTTATATACATGTATGTAAATATGGTTGAGAATTCCTATAAAGAAGAATTAACATAATATTTCCGTCATGCATTGATTCATTCTAAAGATTATTGATAATAAGTTTTATTTCGAAATTTTATCAATGATCTTTGTTTTTTGATTTAGTATGCTTATGATGGCATCTAACGAATAACCCATGAAAAATTGTATTTAAAAAATTTGTCCAATTTGGTACACCATAGTTTTATTTTGAATTGTTTTTCTTATATCGAGTAATCGAGAATATGCGAAGAATAATTTTCAAGGTAATTTAATGCATGATCAGAGATATCAATAAATTTTTTTTATGATTGCATGAAAAATGACTTTGATTGCAAATGTTAAGTTTAATAATTTATCCAATTTTCTTGATGGTATTATTATTATTGTTTTTTTTTGTCGTCTTTTTTTTTAAGGTCGTATTTTCATGGTACATATGTATATCAGAATCATCTAAATCAAAAGCCCATGCACGATGCTTCTTCGTTTGCGAATTATTTCCGGTTGGTTCTTTTCATGTTTTTTATTTCTTTTTCCAAGGTTTTGCAATGTTTCTTCGACGTGAATACGAAATTAGATAAATCCAAGATATCAAGAAATTTGTTTCAATTGAAAGAACATTAAAACAAGGCTCTCACATTTGTATTTTTGTTTACATCTCTTTTTAATTAATTATCTTCGATAAAAAAAGAAACTTTAAAGAAAAAAAGAAATCAAACGAATTGTAACAGCTGTAATTATGATCATAGAAGTACTCGAAAATCACGATTTATTTTTTTCTATTAAAAATAAATTCCGAAAAATGTATTATAAAAAATAATATATATTACAATATAATAAATTAAAATAATATGTGTGTGTGTGTGTATTTTATAAAATAAATCATGAAATTAGTTTCATTGCTTGTAATTCTCTTTTTGTTTTCTTTTTTCTTTTTCCTATTTTCATTCGTAAAGATAAAAAAATAATTATTATTATCTTTGAATAAATAGGAATCAATATATAAAGAACAAAATACTTAACGAAACATTATTATTTCCTTAATTAATTATTACTTAATTTGCATTAACCATTTCCTATTTTTCTAATAGGAATAATTTACTTTTTGCATAGCAATTTTATATATACGCGTATAAAATTGTAAATGATTGCAGTGCACACGTTATACGTCTCTTCAACGATCTATAGAATTTGCTTTGTCTAAAATCATATGTCACGTATAAAATATTTGGCCTTGAGTACTACTTTGGATATTTTTTTAATAACGTGTATTAAGATAATAAACGTTCGTTTAGAGTAGTTGTTCATTAAAACAACCGATAATTATTTTATTAAGTCAATTAATATTCAACAACTTAGGAAATAACACGAATCTATCTATAGTAGCATTATTAATTAAAAACGTGATATTTTTTAAAACAAAAAAGAACGTTTATGGCTATCATTAAAGGCGTAACTGTAAGTTAGATTAAACGACAAAAAAAAAAAAAGAAAAGAACCTGTATAGAGTTGAATATCGAATTGTGTTGTTAACGAATTAATAGTAAAAGATATTTATTTCTTTTTTTTTTTATTACAATAATTTATATGAAAAAAAATTTCGTAAAATTCTTTTTGTTTTTCTTATCTTAACGTTTATTATCATAATTATTAACAAGATTGGGATCCTCGAATAATTATTACTTTCAATCATATCCGAATAACGGTACATATATAATAATTTTACGAAAAATGTCAAACTATGGATAAGAATATGTATACATATGTATACAAAAGGTCACAATTATGAATATGCAAGAATTGTGAGGTAAAAATTTCACGAAAAATGATAAATGCAGACGTGAAAGAATTGAAATAATTTATTTTTTTGATCGTTCGTGATTGGGAAACGTGTAGTGTAGTATAGTTAGAGAGAGAGAGAGAGAGAGGATCGTATATGACGATCAACCGCAAGAATTCCGGAACATTCTTCGTGTACGCGTCTATACATTAAAAGTCGATTGGAAAAGAGGTCATAGTCCAAGCAAGCCACCACCATTTCATAGTTGCTTACGCGCCATTCCTTTTCGCGAGAGTCTATGTTCCAATCCTATCGAAAACAACATTTTTATTCTAACAAACGAAATAGTATTTCTATAATGGTATTACCTTGAAAAAAATAGTATTGTTAAGAAAATAATTCTTGCTGTTAATTTCTATTCTTTTTTTTTTAAAATGATTTATATATATAAACAAAAAAAAACTACAACGAAAAGCTTTTAACAAATGAAATAATACCTCCCTGATAGTATTACCTTTAAAAAAAAGTGTATTGTCATGAAAATAATTCTTGCTGTTCTCTATTTTTGTTTTTTAAATGATTTGTTAAATTATACTATCATATAATGCGAAAAAGTTATTTCGGAATGCTATTAACAAACGAAATATTATTTCCCTGATGGTATACCTTGAAAATAATCCTTGGTTTTCGTTCTTTTTTTTTTTTTTTTTCGTGATCATTTGGTAATCGTAAATTATTGTATACGATTTGCATTGTGTTAAGGAACAACGAGATACCTATCAATTTAAATTCTTTATTGATTTTTTTTCTTGTTCTTTATCTTTACAATTGGTTTATATTTTAAACAGAGCCTTGAGGAAGTCAAGAAGTGTCGATAAATAAAAACGGAATGGAAGGTTCGATGTATCCACACAAGTATAAGATATTACGTATTTTAATTATTCGTTCCTTCGTCGTAAAAAAAAAAAAAGAAAAAAGGGAATGAAGAAATGCTTCGAAAGAGAATCTTGCATTAATTTTTACCTAGACGAAAGGTATACGTATTTTATTGATTCGTTTCTTCCTTCGAAAAAGAGGGAAGGAAAAGAGAGAAAAAAATACTCCGGTGAATAAAAAGTTGTATTAATTAATTTATAATTTGTGATACAATTTATCGTACGATTGGAGCCATCTAATATTCGTTTATTCGAAAGTTCAACGATCTCCGATGAATTTCAAGTTTAAATTTCGGTAGATTTTGATTAATTCGGTAGATTTCCAAACGGTGTTAGTTCCGGGTACCCAAGGTTAACGATCCGTCTCTGTCGAGTTATCAAAGTCCTATTGTAATTCTAATTAAAATATCGCTAATTCATAAGAAAAAAAAAGAAAAAGAAAAAGAAAAAAAATATGTATTTACCTTTTCGTTTCGCATCATTAATAAATCTAATAATCTACGAACTATAATATATTTGTATGCACTTTAAACTCGATAAAAATGTTTCGTCGAATGCATACTACTCGAGTGAAGTTCAACGCGTTCGAGGAAAAATGAATTTGAAATTTGCGTTAGGTAGTAATGAATTGTTAAAAAATTGAAGAAGAAGAAAGAAAAGAAAAAAAAATTACAAAGTGCTTTTTTTTTTATATTTTCCTTCTTACAGGATCGTGTAAAAATAATAAAAGAAACAAATGACGTTCCTTTTTTTTTCTTTTTTCTTCTTAATTCTTGCAACTGATCTCGTAAGTAAGATCAACGTGTTTGAAATGTTAATAAACGAAAGGGAAATAGTTAGAGAGAAAGAGTACGAGTAAAACGAAACAAACGTAATTTAAACGAAAGTGACGTTTCATCGTCTTATTACGTTTCGCGAGAATTAG